GAAATTTCAATAAAATAATACTTTTGTAAAAGAATAGTTATACCAATAAAACGATGACATAAGTAGCAATATATTGCTCTATTTTCCGTAAATTAAATAGCGAGTGCAACTATTTTACTATGTATGTGTCAACACAATGTGGAAGTTAGTGATACTATTCAGTCATTGTGAATGAAGTTGAACAAAGTTCTAAATAGTAAATAAACACAACAATGTAGAATCTAGCAAAAGAATGTATCTCCTCGAAAACAGAGCTTGTTAACGAATTAAACTGGTCTAACAAATAACAGAGTCTATTATACGAGCAGATTGAAGACAAGGTTAGGTGAGATTAAACCAAAACATGAAGGTGTCGATATTCTGTTTATCGTTTGTGATCTATGATTGTAGACTTGGCTTTAAGTCTGTTAGGGGGACTCAGATGCATATATTCTTTATCTTTCTCCAAATCGCGAGAATAGTATATTCAGTACTTTTGATTATACAGTTGTATTTTTTTCTTTCCAACTACATTTCATTCGTTTAATTATAACTATTATTAACATGCTATCTCCACTCTTTTACTTTTCATTTTGTTAATCGCCATCTGTTTGACTGAAGAGAAATATGATAACCCGAAACAAAAAACATTTTGTACTGTATTCTACATTGTTTATAATCGGTTAGGGATCACAGTTCCTATTGTCGACTCTTCAAGAAAAATTGAATCAGTCACAAACAATATGATTTCAAGTGGCAAAAAAGTTACTAGAAAGGAGCAAATTAACCAAGCAAAATAATACAATAGGAGGCCTCAGATTAACAGTTTAATTCATGCACACACGTGTATAACACACACACATATGTATGTACACACACGGATGTGTACATTTCTTCATTTTCCTCGTTTTAGTTTAAATAATTTTCTTGTAGGCTAACAAGCATAAGCAAGTAAACAATCGAGTAGAATGCACAAAATTGATTTTACTGTAGCTTGGATTTAGTTCAGAGATTAGATCAGTAATGAAATACGAACATTACTATTATTATTTATCATTATTGCATTTTGTTATTTCATTCTTTGACCATTCGTATTCACCTAAATACGAAAATACACAAAGTATGATTCATTCAGCTCAGTTGAAAACGGATAATAATGATGATGATGGTGTGGAGATTTTTCTTTTTAAACGAAAAACAATTTTATCCTCTTATAGTTCATGTATGTTATGCATGTGTACCTATGTACGTGCTACCTTGTACGCAGATGTGTATTTAGATAAGCATAAAAAGCATATATCCCCTATAGTTTAGCTTATTCATATGTGTGTGTGAATGACTTCCATTATGTGAATGTTAAAGAAAGAGATGATAAGGGAACAAAGAAATAAGAATTACATTTGCATTGATACAAATATACAATCTGTACTATGGGATTTGTACATATTAATTTTAAACTGGAACAACATATAAGATGTGAGATAATAAAAAAAATTATTGTTATCAGAATTATATATCAAACACAAGTGTTATTATTTTATTTCATACTTATTGGTTGCTTGGATCTTTCCATTGATGTCTAGGATTGCAATTAGTCAGTCTCAGTAGCTAAATAAATAACAGGATAGCGTTTAAAGTGAACTGTACAAGTTTCGAGTCTCGGCGTGAACATCAACAGTGTGGTGTAGGCACATTCAGCTGAAGAGTCCCATATAGGTCGAAACGCGTGTCCTGGATTTCACTGCTAACCACCATCTATTTCTGTTTATTATACCTGTGACTTAATGGCGATACCGAGGCAACCTGCATAGGATGCCTATATTCCAAAAGAGACTGAAAAATTGTAATCCTAAACACCTATTGGAAAATTCAAACAACCAATACGAATACACTTCATTTCAATATGTAGTGGGGCAATGACGTAGTTATTGAACAACTCAATAAATTGCGAAATTGTACTAGGTGTGCTTAAAGGCTGAGTACACGAATTCGTGGTTAATTATTAACTTTTAGTGGGTATTTAATAAAACTAAGCTGTAGGGCCGAGATTTAGTGATGTTACAAATAGTCTTGTGATTTCAAGTTCACTTTTAAAATAATTAGAGAGTAATTAGTAAGAAACAAGTATTGGCTACAGAAGTAATGAAACGTCACATATTAAAGTGATTTTAGTAATTTTATTAATTTAACAAGCCGATTTAACAAACCGATAATCGCCTACAATATTTTTAACAGTCCCGTTGGAAAGTTATAAAGATGGCATTTTGCACTACCAAGAAACTGCCTGAAATTAAGGATGGTCGAACTTTACCAGTTATAACTTCTGACGCATCTTGGGGCTGATCAACAGTTCATGGTAAAAAACATTTTACGAAATAAACTAATCCCCCCTGAACCGATTATCTTACTGAAATTATTATATTTTCGAAATACCATACTAAAATCTAGGTCACTAGGACATTTCCAACGCACGAACACACACAAATACACAGTGATGGGAAGAAATGTTCGAAATATGCGATGAATGTATTTGCATTATAAATTATGCTAAGCTTAGCTTAGAAGTGAAAATATCTAACAACTTCAACTTGATATGGAACAACCAAATTTGCATTATAAATAATTACAATAATGATGATGAGTCACAGTGATGTATTATGGAAGTATACCTGTAGAGCGAAGGTCATTCTTACACATGTCTGTAACCTTGACCGTAAATGACTTATAAATATTGGCTTAAATTTATGTACATGAACGTCCGTGCTAGTGAATTTAAACAAATCTAACAAAAATACGAAATTCATGTTAATAATAATAACAACTTTTAACACATGGAATAAAACAAATGGTTTTGCTAGTTATATTCAAAATGAATATTTCTTGATTTAAATAAATGAGAGTTCACATTCTTTCCAACTGTGACATACTTAATTATTTTAGATGGTAATTACAATAAAATATCTGAATTTCAGTTCACTTAAATACTGATGTCAGTGTCATTAGGGAAGAATAATCAATCATCGGTCATTATTCAGGTATAATTTCATATAATCATACCTTCTAATCTGACCTGTGAATCATATTCCAACATTTAAGTAGGCATAAGCAAGCAAACAAACAAACAAACAATAAAGATTTATTTATTTCTATAATTCGTATCCAGAAAAAATTGGTACATAGTAACATAGAATATAGAAGAAATTTGTTTTAAAACAAGAACATAGTTTATCGGTAAAAAATAAATTATTATACATTATAGCTTACAAGTTAAGAATACTTCGTTTTGGCAACAAAAAAAACATGAAGGAACCAAAATATCAAGGACTTGTTGAGGTGTCGCTTGTAGGGTAAAACTAATTCCAAATGCAATCAACCAGAAGATACAAGTTTATTTATTGAATATAGTTTTGGGTATCCTGGTAACATAACTTCGAGAAAAAAAATTATTATTCTAAATTTGAAATGAAATTAGTTCAGTCGATATCAATGCAAACTTATTCAAATCAATACCATAACATTTCTGTTGTTGTCGAATATCACTGTGGAGAGATACTTCTCTTTGAAGTAATTGAGCATGAAACTGGATTAGATGTGGTCTTGGAAACCTAAAAGTATGATCCCAGTACCAAAGAGACAACTATTTGAGGGCGGTCACACATAGCATTTTTGTGGTTAGTTTTGAGTGTATCAGCTCCAGACTCTTAAGACCTTACTCCAGAAGATAGAAACCCGCGAAGCCAGGTAAACGTTGGTTATTTCTGGAGCAGACATTTGTTGGCTCCTTCCCTTGGTAGCGAAGAGGTAGCATAGCCGTAAACGCTGTTTGTCAGAGGGAGATACTTTGCTGCTATCACATCTTTCTACAGTTGACGTTGGACTGTAAGTCTACTGTTTTAAATCTTACCTCTCTTGAACCAAACTGCTTGGGATAGCAGACACAAAAGGGACAAGTTTTCCAGCCAAAAACCTCGACTGGGTCACCACTATATACAAACACAACTGCAAAATCAAGATAGAAGATACGGTCGGCGGATATCGTAATAATAATACGTAGTACATGTAGAATTTCCCCGACTAGTTCAACAATGGATAAGTAATTTAATTACTAAACTCAAAACAGGTGTTGTAGACTGAATTTCAACCGGGACGTTTATAATGCTTTCAAAGGATGAACTTATAACCTAGGAAAAGTGAAAAGATATTTTTCCGATTATTAAAGTCTTATGAAAAACAATGACTTTCTTTAATTGTAACACACAGCACCTGAGGATAAAATTTAAACATCTCTGTATTTCATATTATAGAAGACAAAAAGCTTTTTATGATCACATTTGAACAAGCAAGAAAAATTTCTGAAAACGTTAACTTACTTGAGTAGGCTAAATGAGAAGAGCTGCAATTGAACTGTTGAACTACTGAAGGAGTTGTATGTACCTTTGATAAGGTGTGATAAAGTTTAGACCATGGCAAATTAGCTAAGATGAAAAGTATACAAGCTATGTAGCTTAGTCCATGAGACCAATGAAGATTCCTACGAAGTTTCCGGGACACAATTAAATTTACTGATTCTTGGGTGTCACTATTATATGAATAGGTCCGATTATCAGTATCAATACTGTTATTTTTAGTATACAGAGGTTTAATGGCTTTACCTGAAGATTTATTGGACATAATATGTTGAATTGAATGAGACGATTTTGAAATGCATGGCATGTTAGCAAAAAGAACACTAATTAAAAGCAAGACAGTAGAACTGATCAGTAAAGCTAAACGTATTAAATTTATGTGAGTTAAATGTAAACTAGAAACAGCATATGAATGTTCGATAAATGATGAAGAGTCAACTGTTGGTGGTAGTGTATTATAATTTGAGTAAATCATCATAGATACGACTAAGAAAATGCAAACAATCAGATTTAAAGAAATAAATAGATTAATTTCCGCCTGACGATATTTTAAAATGAAGTAATTTTCATAGTATTTATAAACGTTTGGTGATGAACAGTAATTATTAGTTGTATTTAGACAGAGCCAATCATTGATAGCCTATCCTTTAAAGTGGAAAAGTATGATTGTTTTTGGCAGATAGCATGTTGAGTAGACAATGATAAATCATTACGAGTTTGTGTTTTTTGGTTGTAATTTGATGAAATACACTGCGATGCATTAGTGGGCAAATGACTAGAACTGAGATTATATAAACTGGACTTGATATCTGCACTCTTATTTGAGAGAATTACTGGCGAATCACTTGAAATTTTCTTATGTTTAGAGTTGAAAAATGATTTAAACCAATGAAGTCTAGACCATACATGTTTACTGTTTTGATTATTCGATCTTGTGTCTGGTGGACAAAGTAAGTGAACACCGGCTACATCATAGAGCTCAACTTCAGGCCCACGTCGAGCAGAAAGTTGCAAACCATGCGGAAGTTCAACGTCCAGTAATGGTGACTCAGTGAGATATTTGTCTTTTTTGGAATGAGCACCAAGCCAGTTTTCATATTGTGGTTCGTTTGTTTTAACCTGTACGTCAGGCATGACTAACAGTTGGTTTTAGTGGAATTCTATTCCGTAAAGCGAACTTCATATGTAGCACGGAAGTAAACAAGTCACACCATTCTGAAACATAAATTAACAGCAGTATTTTTGAGAAAACAGATACAATGAATCAGTGAGAAAATAATTTTAATCACACTTCAGATAAAAGAATTTTCTTTCAACAAAAGGCTGTGTCAGGGTTCTGGTTTCTCAACGAAATAGCACGAAGTTTCTAATTCTCGAATAGATATTTCATATATTAGAACACGAGTCGAGAATAAGCTAAATATATATTTTGGAGAGAAAAAGGGACCTTACTTTTGAAGGTTTTCTAAATGACGAAGATTTATTTCCTAAGTATGGTTAAATTTTCTATAACTGAATGTCATCTGAAATGTAAATACATGACTAATACAACTGCTGAACAAGATCAAATCAAGCATTTATAATTGTTGTTTTACAATCGATCGAAAAGAGATACCCTGGAAAAAAACTGACAAAACATCGCCCTCATTTTTCTTGTCTTCCAAAACAGAATTTACGAGGACACTCCAAAAAAGTTCATAAGCCGAGAACAAATTACTTGTCAGCTGACCATCGACTTTCCCATCGAATCATCAACGAGTGGAATTCACTACCTCAGCACGTGGTTGAGGCTCCATCCGTCGACTCTTTCAAAAGAAAGTTGGATCAACTGAGAGACCACCATTGCCAGGACTAACATAGGCCATCGAGCCTCCTGTCCTTCCCAAACTGAAACTGAAATCCTAGCTTTTGCGAGGATAAAGAAGACAAATGAGATGTTGCGTGCTAACTTTTTAAACCTCAGTGTACTAATGTATGTACAGATGCTCCGTCATACTAACTTACACCTCACACAGCCAGATTTCTCAACTAGACCATAACTGGTTGTAGGATCCCGTAATTATCTGTCGCTAAGGGAGATGAGTACAGCGTACAAATGTACTTAGTTAACTCATTTACCAGCTACTTTGCAATGGGCCACACATATTTTGAGGGCTGGTGATACTATACATTTGACCACACCAACAACCGCAATGAATAAGTACATCACATGAAATTATGTTCAGTAGATTGCGTTAACTTTACTTAAAGCGATTCATTTAGTATTGGATGGATAAGAAATACAGAAAATGGTTTCAACTGAAATTCGCAAACGATTTTTAAGAGTAATTAAAGCATTAGAATAGCGAGTCAAATACAGACAGAAATTGGATTTGAAACGTAGTTAACAATCTGAATTGCTAACTTGATTATGTCGAGGCTTAAACGTTTGATTGTTAATTCTTCTCCTTTTGTCATATTTGTGAAGTAAAGGTACGTTAATCTGACTTCTGCGATAAAATAAACAAAATATTGTTTACGAACATTTGCCAACATTTAGACCAAACAACGCAGTATCCTGTAGCGTTTCAATTACCACGTTTAAATCATGATGTCTAAAATCAACAGAAACATCTTATCTTTTTGTGTGGTAACAATTAAATATTGGTACCCAATTCACGTCTGAAACTCAAAGAATACACTTCCCGCATTTGAATTATCGCGTACTAATTTTGTTACCCTTAAATACCAGTCATTCTAAGTATTATCTATAGTTATATTTTGTGGTAAGCTATGAAAGAATTAAGACATGAAACTACCAGCTGATTAGAAAGACAGAGGAGCAGGTCTGAAACAATCTTGACGTCATAATCATTACAGAAAACGAATAAAAATGTCATCGTAATATTAGCGTGGGCTTCTTCATAAACTATACCAACTAAATGATACCCTATTATGATTTAAACACGTGTTAGGTACATAGACACGGTGAATTTCTCATTGGTACGAGGATGAAGAATATATAACCCAAAGCTCGCACCTCAAGGTCACTGCACAATGAAAGTAAAGAAACCATGTGACCCGCCGATATAACAGTTAATTTTCCGTAGACTGAAAAAACAACAAACTGTTTGAAAAATTATTGGGTATTTTCGAATGATTAAAATGGTCGTTTATATTCTCTAAATGATTTTTACGTCAAGTTGGGACGAGGAAAGTTTCATGCATGTCATTTAAATTCTGCCCTAGCAGTCGAAATGTTTTCATACATGCTCCTCATTGTGAAAGCCAAAGTTATTCGGAAGTTGGAAACCGATGCTCCTCATAACATTAGAAATAAAAATCAACCTAGATACGTGTTATATCTGAACAGTAAAAGAGTTCTGGAAGACTATTCAAACACCAGACGAGATTGGAAAGATGCAAAATGTATGTGATAGTAATTAGTTAAAACCTCTAAGCAAAAGATAGTTCAAAAGGACTATCATGTAAGAAAGTGATGCTACGTTTTATTGATGAAGAACTTAGTGCCTCTCACACACATGAGGTTGAGTACGAAAAACCCATTTACTTAGTGGAGTTCACGACTTCAGGATCATTGAAGTATCATCAAAAATAAAGATGAAATGGATCATGTGCATTGCCAGAAGCAAGGATGGTAGGAATCACACTAACGAACGGCTTCACTTCTTCACAGAAAACTGCGCAATAAAATATATGGCCATCTCGATTATGGACCTGTGCGTCAAGGTCAGGACGGAAAACATCGCGAGTCGACATGCACAAGATGATGAGGCCGAAAAAGTTGAAAAACCTTACGACCTACGTGATTTCAACAAAATGGCTATGAATGCGACCATCTTCTCTAGTAAATATCCATGCAAATATATCACCAAACAACACTACCTAGAATCAGATCAGTCGCATCGAAATCAATAAAATTAGGATTTATAAAAAAACTATGTGATATAATCACGAGGCTAGGAGGGAAATGTAGTAGACCAAAACGGGTAATGACGAAGTGTCCGAAACGGTTACCTAGATTCAAGAAACAACTCGTGACACTACGGATAAATGTTAGACAAACAATTGGATGTTACTCGTCACTATACAGCAACTTTCATGACCATGAGAAAGCGTCTCATGTTATGGATGGAACCTTATAGAACCTTTTCCGACACTATGGTATGCTTGAAAAAATCGTCATCGTAGCTGAAGGACGTCCTAAACTTAGGCGAGCGGAATACAACTCTGATGGTTTAGCATCAAATGCTTAATGCAAAAAAAAACGTTTGTATCGTTATACGATGTTATTCCTCATTATTTAAATCAATCGTCATATGCATCTAGGAGAAACATTTTCGTCTTAGCAGACAGGGATATCGGGAATGTTGAACTCAAAGTTCACTCCACAGACTGACCTTCGTTAGGCAACTGTTGAAAGCCGAAAAGTAATATACACATATATTTAGCCCTAGTATGAGAACCTTCCATGGTACGTAGCCATAGCAAAGATAGCGTTTAAGTTCATGACCCTCCTATTCAGAACTGAATCACATGATCGGCGAGTCAAAATCAATACACAGAGATCACTCATGCTAAAAGACACCAATTGTATCGTGAATATTTCCCTTACTAATTACCAGATAAAATTAGTTTTCATATTTTGCAATGAACAATTAATATTATCAGCTTTATTCAATGTTATGTTTTTGGTACAATATTGAATTCTCAGCGTAAAGTATTTCAACAAGTTTCCGTTTCTTTCTTCTTGGTCGGTCCTGGCGATAAATATTGAGTGATCGCCAGTTAGATGTTAGCAGTTCAGTAAATGAACATCTGAATAATGTGCATTCTTTTCGTTGTATATTGCCAGCAACCATATTGTCTCTTATTGAGCTTTTTGTAACTTTGACAGCGAAAGGTTGTACACTTTTCAGAAACGCAGCAGAATAGGTTATGCGATTATTATACATAGTGATATATTAAAACAAAGAAAAATAGATAACTTGTTGAAATATCTAGATGGATAGAACAGGTAGCCCAGATGATCAAGCAGGTCTTTTTCATCTGAGTTCTCGTTCACCGCAATACCTTCTGTTAGAACGAAAACATTGTTTCCTAATGTTAAGACTATATACTTCCTTATTCTGTATAGTTATTACATGTCCTGGTTACCATACATTTAGTGGTGAAACTTGCTTATTTAGATGGTTTAACCTAGTTACTACGCTCTTTAAACTTACCAGTGACTCTCACCCTAACATAATCCGTAAATTTACTCTAGATGAGTTCAAATACAGTACTGCACATCTGACATATACCGAAACCGCTTCCTACATAAGTTTTTTATCTTCGGAATAAACTGCTAGTTAGAACACGAAAAATAAACTCTGTAGATCATTTTGTAAAGACTACTGTACGACAACGCGTCACTGAAAAACACTTACTTGCCCACGGATACTGGTGTTTTCAAGAACCCACCTATGTAATATTACCTTACAAACTCAGTAATATATCAAAATAAGGGTACCAATAATTTCTTAAAATGTCTTATTAAACACAATTGTGGAGATAGGCCTGACAACCTTATTTTGTGAATAGTTTTCAATGTTATTTGTATTTACTTTGTCAACCTTTCACTGTATGTACATTTAACACTAAATGACTGTACGTGTTGTTTTAGTCAATGACCTTGAAGACTTTTTCCGTTGTGATTCTTACATAGCGTGACACACTTTTGGTTGTTCGCAAATACATTACTACGCACGCATCCCTCGTTCTATTTTCGTTTGTGATCGTGTTAGCTGAAGTCTAAATCAAATATTATCATTATTTATAGACTGTAATTGGAATATATCACATTCTACGTGGGATTATATCACTAGAAAGTTCGCCAACCTGCTCGGAATCATCAAGCATTTATAATTGTGGATTTACATTACCGGACCTAATCAGAACACGCAACGTTTGGCCAATTTAAGTAACGTCCCTAATTTTTATTGTATTTCTAACAATTAACTGTATATATTAATATTACTATTGATCTTTAGTAACTTTGTTTATACTTTTCGCGTTCATATCTGTCTGGTCCACCACAATGATTTGGTGATCCCTGATTTTTTTATAGACATTTATTTTATATATCTACATAT